GAACTTAACCTTAACTATGTGCTTTATCAAAAAAGGATAAAGCACATAGAGCTTATGGTTAGGGCACCCTGCCTACTTTCAAGCCTAATGTTGAAAGTAGACAGGGTGTCTATTTCCCAAATTTAAACTGGGAGCTGGTTGCACAGAAGAAGGGCCTCAAAACTCAAGGCTCAGTCTCCCTAAGAACCCTAAGAACTACTAAGAACTACAAGTAAGCCAGCAGTCTGAGAGCAAATGACTGAATTTGGGTGATGTGGTAGAATGAGGTGTTTAATTAAGATAAGATGGGGCCTGTGAGAACGTGTGCGGTTTTAGATAGAAAGAAGGCAACAAATCAGAGATGCTTGATTCCCTTGTATATATAACTAGTGATAACTAGTGATCCTGAACCATGCACTAGTTATGCCTCAATAGGCTTAGGCTTCTCACGATGCAGAGCATTTCTTCTTCACTTACCTCTTTTCACTCTCTGTCTAAATATAGTAGTGGAGCAATTAATAAACTGGCCCTTCCTCCTATAGTTTGCCTTTTGTCCCATCTCTCTCTGCTCTCTCCTCTTTTCCCTTACTCCTAACCAGTTGTAGCAGATTACTGCCCCTCCCTGATCCTGATTCTGCTTTCTCTGGAGCTGCCGTCCTGCTAAAATAGAGATCTTACAATATAAAGTCACCTAGGTGACTGTTGTGTTGTTATGAACTGGCATTATATAATGAAATGTAATTGAAATAGGACTGAATTGAATGTTTTAAAACTAGGACTTAATGGATGATATTTCCCCATCTCCTTCATGGTTTGAGACTCAGCTAAAGAGGAAAGAGGCTAGTTTCACATGAAATGCTGGAGTGCACTGATATCATAGTGTTCTCTGGAACAGTATGTTTTTTATTATAGGAAAAAACATGCATCTGCCACTAGGGCTCAGTCTAATCATAACTTAGTCCGTCTCCTTCCTTCCACCCACACTGCATGTTAGCTAGTCTGCTGAGACACTGAGAGAAAGGGGAACACTTTATAGAGCACATTATAGCACACTGTCACACATTACAATTCCACCTTCTTAAATCCCCCAAACCAAAACCTGTCATGTGATACAATCAAGCTGAAGCTGACTCACACATTCTGCTGTTTTTCCCTTTTCACTTCACTGATTTTCTATGCAAATGTGATTTTTCTCTTCAGGGGCTAAACGTTACTCAACTTAGCTGTGTTTCTCCATAACAATCATGAGACCTACTGAACAGATTACAATTGATGTGTGTGACGGAGGAAAGAATGATGCAGGAAGCCTTAAACAGGCCTTAAAAACCTTTTGGCTGGTAGTATATTAGCAGAATAATCATTTGCTAATGTTAGAGAAGAATGCAGTAATACCAGTAATATTATAAAATAGATGTGACTGACACATTTAAGCTAAGTAGAAGGGAAGAAATCTTTTACATCCATCTGTGCATCTAATCAAACTTCTGCCACAAACTGCTATTTTGTGGTGTGTGTGTGTGTGTGTGTGTGTGTGTGTGTGTGTGTGTGTGTGTGTGTGTGTGTGTGTGTGTGTGTGTGTGTGTGTGTGTGTGTGTGTGCGCAGACACGTGTGTTATGCTGCATCATTGTGTTGTGTTATCATTGCATTTTCCTCCGACTGCAAGTGAATTGAATTCTAGGGTGCAAACATCACGTTCACATGGCCTTGAACCTTGCAGCTACATCTGAAAACATTATTCTTGGAAGACAGATCATGATCCTGCAAAACTAACTGAGAAGTGTTTAGTGAAAGTATCATAACTATATATCATTTGGACCAGACTAGACTGACATACTTCAACAACAAGAACAGCTGTCACATCTTACTGTGTGCTTTGACCACCCCAGTCAAATCATTATTACAACTCAGTCACAACAAAGGCCACAAACAACCTTAATGCAACAATTTCTTGCAAAGGCAGCTCACAGTTTTCACTTCCCTTATTTGTGGTGTATGCTCAGTATGCATTTGTTTGTATCAGATATTTCTAATAGACTTTAAAAAAGTATAGAATAGGTGATTGACAAGTATTTTGTCCTCAGATGTCTTGCACAAAAGACCAGAACCCCAGGCTGTGATTTCTCATTTTCAAACATGGTTTAAAGCAAAATCAGTTTCTTCATAAACCAGAGGTCAAAAACGGGTCATGCAGTTGCTAACTCATTTGTATAATTGCAATACTTCCTCCCTTTTATTTATGTCTTTATTTATGTTGTCAAATTCAACTGGCCAATTTATTGTTGGCTAGTTGGAGAAAGAAGAGGATGAAGATTGTAGTCCCAACTACATATCTGCAGAGGTATGGAGAAGACGGAAGTGAGCGGGGGTTTTGGAACAGATTGTATAGCACACTCTTGGAGAGTGAGAGGATGTTTTAGAAATGGTACTGTGTACTCGTACCAGTTTTCAAGATCCAGGGTGATATGGAGAGTTGTAGTAACTACAAAACAATACATTCATGAGCCATACCATGAAGCTGTGGGAAAGAGTTATGAAGTGAGGTGATGATATAGGCATAGGTATCGCTGTAGCTCAGGAGGTAGAGTAGGTCTCTTCTATGAATGGGTGAATGAGGCATGTTAGTAAAGTAAAGTGCTTTGAGTGCTCTACCAGAGTAGAAGCGTGCTACATTAGAACCAGTCCATTTACCATTTACCTTTATTGGTTTCAGGCCAAGAAAGAGCAAGCGATAGATATGATGGCTGCTTTGAGAATGTTAATGGAGAAAATAAATAAGGTTAGAAGGAGTTGTTTGTGGAATTCCTCTTCCAGAGAGCGTTTTCATTCAAAAAAACTGTAAGTCAATTAGAGTTTTTGTTGGTTTATAGGTTATTTAGTATTTTATGAGTAAGTCATAAAAGTGCTTTCTTGCTAGGTCTAGTAAAATTAGCTACACCTGCCCACACCTTTCCCACTTTCCGTGAGATAACCCAAAGAATGGGAAGATCCAACAGGCTCAGAAAACTGATTTGTGATTGAAGACAAAATCATTGTGAAGGTGCTCATCAGCAGATTTTTAATGTTACAGGATGCTAGTTGTGTTTTCTCCACTAGCGCTTTTTCTCTGCCAGAAAATGTCTTCATATGTAAAACTGTAAGGCACTTAGAGTTTCCTTCTGTGTTTACATGATTATTTGGCCATTTTAACAGTAGGAGTTTGTGTGTTTTCCCATATTTTATACGTATATGTTTTAAAAAAGAAGCAAAAAGTCCACTGAGCACCCTTTTCTGTAAAAACAGCCCTGTGGCACATTATCTGTCAGTCAAAAGCATCTCAGTGTATACAGCGTCCAGCACCATGCATTACTCTTTAATTAGTACAATTCCACATAGAGGCGTAAAGGCATTTCTCTCTGTAATCAGATTTTTTAGACATTTGTCTGATAGCTTTTCACCTTTCCTGCTTTTGTGTGTGTGTGTGAAGGAAGATACCTCTAGGTCTGTCGTCACTGGGGCGAGTGACCAGAATGGAACGTTTGACATGAAAACGTTTCCACAGGGGCACGTGCTGCGTGTGCATGTTCCCAGAGTTCAACTTCTTGTGGTCTGAATAGGAAATTAGGCGGACTTACTGCCATGACAGTCAGGCACAAAACCTCAAAGGCCATGCCCATTTGATGCTATTTACTTTTACACACCTAAGAATGCAACTGCGATAGGATAGGCCAAAAGACCCATTGTGGAAGACTCTGATTCTCTCTAGCTCTCCTATAGAGCTTTCCTAGTAACTGTCTTCCCTTATAACTATTCCCGTAAATCCAAGCGTGGATTACCAACCAGGCTCAGTGGATGACTGTCCTGTCCACTTTGCCTCCAGGTTATCTTTGTGTGAATACATTAGTGGTAGTTTGATTAAAGGCAACTAAAACTGTAAGGGTCAGACAGTCAATCCTGTCTTACTGTGTATCCTTGTGTTATTGCATGAAATCAGGACTTATCTACCCAGTCTGAGCAATGAAGACTGAAAGCACTGGGAAAGAACCAGGATTTTTATTTGAACTGTGTTAAGGTTCACTGATTTGTTTGTTATAGCATTTTATACTAATTAAGAACAATATTCTGCTAATGTTTTAATTTATTTTTTCTCTCCAAGGCGTATAAATTAAGGTTTTTTAACAGGAGCACCACCAGTAGTGGTAAATAAGAACACTGGACTGGGGGACAACAGACCTGCCCCAATAATGAGTTAACCAACTTTTTTTACTGGGTCGACTTGACCTGATCATTAGCATTACACTCTCACAAGCGAAAAGGTTTGGGGTTCAAACCTCTTGGACAGCAAGGCTTTTCTGTGTGGAGCTCTTCGCTGTGACTGTGTTGGTTTTCCTCCCCCGGTTACTGTATAGAATAAAGCACTGTGTGAATGTGCCTTGTAGTTAAAAGTGTGCAGTCAGTTAAACTAGAAAAGTAGTATTTTGGTGCCAGGTTATTGTGTTAAATAATCTTTAAAAGCTGATAATAAAACTGTCCCCATTTGCCATAGGAGCAGTTTGGTCGTACAAATATTAGATGAATGTCTGTTATTCTACTTTTCTCAAGTTTTCTTGGAGTCCACCTGAAAGATGTACACTTAGTTGTGCAGTGTAATTTAAGTCAGTGTCTTCATAAAAAATAGGTGTGCATGTGGATGTCCACAAGAAGGGTAATTTCAAACACTCATAGACCTCAAAAGTAAATGCATCAAAGTGTACAGTGTGGTTTTGTTTCCTGGTTATTGACTGGATATGATTTTAATGTGACATGACAAGCAGTAATGTAGGGAATACCTGTGAATTTCAGGTGTATATGCATATTTTGTATTGAAACGTGCACAACAACAATCACTGGCTTTTAAATGTTGAACTAGGAGTGAGCACGTGAAACAGCAGTCAGTCATGAGGCTGGCTACAGCAGACCACTGGGGCTGATGTCAGCCCTGCGGTATGTGCCTGCCGGGCTTGGCTGTAAGCTGACCCCCCCTCTATTTTGCTTCTATTTCCAGGGCGTGAGCGGAATGTCCGTGGATGAGAAGTCTGAAGCCCCCATGTATGTGTATGAGTCAACAGTTCATTGTACCAATATCCTCCTCTGCCTCAACGACCAGCGGAAGCAGGATATCCTGTGTGATGTGACTGTCCTGGTGGAAGGCAAGGAATTCCGAGGACATCGGGCTGTGCTGGCTGCGTGCAGCGAGTATTTCCTCCAGGCGTTGGTGGGCCAGGCAGAGAATGGCTTGGTTGTTAGCCTTCCTGAAGAGGTAAGTGTATCTATCGTATTGTTTCCCCTGACAGGTTTTGGTTGCAAGGGTGCAAAGGCTGCTGCGTTTTAGACAATGCAACAATAAAAACTCCTTGCTGGTGCAAATACAAAAACAATAGCAATAGCTTTTGCACACTTGCAGACAATCTTTGACTATGCCTTCTATCTACTCCCACCTCAAGCTAAAACACACAGCTCTTAACAACTCATGTGTTTTTATCACGTAAAAATCAACAAGGAAGGTTGCTGGTTTAGCTCAGTGCGTTGAGCAGCTGGCCTGGGTTCAAGTCCCGTCTCTCTGTCTCCCTCTGCTTTCCTGTCATCTCTTCACTGTCTCTGTCAATAAAGCTGATAAAAGACAAAATCTTACATGAGTACTACTGTGATGATTTTCTATGGTTATTATTCAAATATGGCTTATGCCTGCACAATAGATCCAAACAAGGAACAAAATATACAACATGGCTCATTAGGAATACCACTGTGTTTCATAGAGGGAGGGGTCATTTATGGCCAGGTGTGATTCTGTTTTCGTTCAGTAAACCATTCTTTGATCTTGATGATGTTGTAGTGTGTATATAGTGGATAATTATGCTTATCTAGATCACTTAGAGCTGCTTTGGAGTTCCCTCAGAACATGAGGAGGAAGCTGAAAGCTAAATAAATATGCTAAATAAATTCAAACAGGACCCTAGGGTGGGGGCAGGTTATCTACGTGTTTAAAACATATTGTAATATGTCACAGCAGCTATGTAATACATTATATATCATTTTTTTTGTGAACACGAATCTGTCCCAGGACCTCCCCACCCTTCCACATACATACATGGAAAACATCTAAATACTTTCTGTCACTCCGATGAATACATCAGGAGCAATTGCCCAAGGACACTTTGGCATGCAGACTGGAGCACCTAATTGAACCACCTGCCTTCTGAATAGTTGATGACCTTCTCTACCTTCTGAGCCACAGCCACCCCAAAGTAAGACTCAGTATGACATATGGACGTGGCTTGCATCTGGACGTGGCTTGCAAAGTGGCTTGCAGATGTGCAAATGTGCGCTTAAGTAGCACATACTTTGTGAGAGTTGTTACCTATTGAGGAATCAGCTGATGCAGGCTTGCATCAAGATCAGATGAGCTAATCTCATCTTTGTGGCTTGGCTCAGCTGTTGTGCTCAAGAAAAATGCAACTTATTAGGGTCAGGAAACTTAAAGACACTTGAGGTCTGTGACTTTAACGTCTGAATTCAGGTCATTTCAATTGCAACACAAAGTATATGTTTGAAGTATTTGATTATCACAATGCAACATTTGCTATCGCACGTCTAGCACAGCCACGCTACAACAGCTAGCTAATCATACTGTTTCAAGATTTATCAACAAATGCAAACACAACAAGAAAGTTTACTGAACAAAAGCAAAAAACTTTAGGAAAGCAAAAAGAAAAAAAGGACTGAAGAAATATTCACATGGAAACCTGGAAAGTAAAAAAAAGGACACGACTGTATTGATGCAGATAATTACTAAAGGAAGCAAAACAAATGGTCATGCACAAAGAAAGTCACTCCAAAAATAAAACAGGAAGAATTTGACATAGGCAAACATTATTAGACCACAGATAGAGATTCACATGAGACACAGGGTAAAACACTAGGAAACACAATGAAAATACTTCAAACCTGACTCCATGACAGAAACATGTAAAGAAGCTGCACATGTGGACAAATAGCAAAGTAAGGAATATGGAGATCTCTAGTGCAGTTCCAGGAAAAATTGATATTACTCTTTAAGATGTTGCATCTGGGTTTAAATACAGGAAAAAACAAAGCATTATTTTATGCCATTTAAAGAAGGAAGTTATTATGACAGAGCAGAGGTCTGGGGAAGGTTTCTTTTATGTTTTGAGATAAAATCAGAAGTAGTCACTTGATTTGGATTCATCTTGGTCCCTCTCTCTAGGGGCTTGGCCAGCCCTTCGGGTTTCACAGTGGTACTATCAAATATCCCAGAATTTCACCTGAAATCCATCTGCTTCTGTTTTAATAATTTATTACTTCTCGGCCACATGTACTGATTTTCTCTTCAAGTAATTTGTTTGTTTTGCTTGTTTTTTTACTGTGTTCTGTTGCTGTAGAACATAGGCAACATAGATATTACTGCGTATTTTTATTTGTTCTCAAAATAACGTCAAAAACATTATTAAACATTCGTTTAGCTTAAATCACTAGAGATTATTAGCTAATTGTAACCTTCTGCTAGGACATCGCTATTTGCCAGCCAAGGAACTGATGTACATTATTATTTTAGTTTGTTAAAAAAAAATTCTCTTCCTTTTCTGATCAAATTGGGCTTCAGCATTTGTTTACAGTACAGCTCCAGATCCAGGTGACAGCAAGTCAAAATGATGTTACCTATGTCCAGCAGCAGCCTGCATTCAGCTATAAATTGATATGGATCAGTTAATGTCTTTTATTCACTGTAACATTTAACTTTTGGGTGATGCCACAAAAAACGGAGAGAGCAAAAGAAACAGGCGAGAGTGGACACGTAGTCAAAATCACCAGAAATGATAAAGCTTTGGCTTCTGTTTTACCCACAACGATTGTGCAATCCCCGCTTGCGCTTATAATAATTATTGTAAGATTATATTTTTGATATTTTCTAGTTTCTAGTTGAGTGATGAGGATGGAGAAGAAAGGACAGATTATACACGAAATAGAGAAGTCGGGTGGAAAAACAAAAGTTATTTTTCACAAAGTCGTTTTTTATGTATTTCGCAGATGCTTTGTGTGTTTTCCAGTAGCACACTTAAAACATGCCACTGGCCATTCTGAAGAGAACACATTGATATGAATGGGAGCGTTTTACAGGATTGACTGCAAACATGGCTGCCACTACATTGCTGTGATGGACTACAAATCTATTCTTCACTTGTGAAATTAGGGTACACAATGCTCTGTGCTGAGTCTGAGTTTGCATGAATTCAAAAGCGTGTTGTGCATGTTTCTCATCTTGTTGGGTTTGCCGCAAATAGTTAATTAACCTCTTTAAAGACTGCGTCTTTGCCTCGCATTTGATAACTAAAGGCTGCACCCTCGAAAGGCTGGATTAGATTTAAATGTCTGCTTATTCACTCTGAATTATTATTCTTAGACACTTAGGGATGGGTATTGATAAGATTTTCACCATTCCATTTTCGATTCTGTTTAACAATTCGATTCTTTATCGATTCTTTTTTTTTTAAAAAGGAGAGCACTAAGGTCGATTAGCTTAGAACTTTGTTTTATATCTTCTCTTTGAACAAGATAGAAATTTAGGAGTAACATGGCCTTACAAACCCAACAGTGAGATCTTAAGAGATCCACAGCCTACGGCTCTTCAATGGGGTGTCACAGGGTCCCCAGGAAAAAAATTGTTAATTTTAAAACAATAAAATAAATATTCTTCTGTAGCAATAACAAAGTATAACAAATTATTCTGTAGCAATTACACAAGAATATCCAGTAATGTCCCTGCCTACAATTAAACACATTCACTTACTGAAAATCGGGGGCATCTGCTGTGGCAAATGGGTGCAAGCCTTTTACCACAAACTTAGTCTCTGCTTGGTGACATTGATCTATCCTGGCCTGAAAGGAGACGCTACCGGTAGACTGCAGCGAGAACTGCCAGCATCTGAGCCAGACTCTGTCTCTCTCATCATGGTCACCTAAATGCACAGTAATGGCAGGTTTTGTAATAAGGCAGATCGCGCTAACATAATATGCACTGTTAGTTGATTATTTACCTGCGGCATTAACGGGAGAGGACGTGCAAACGTTACCGCTGCTGCTGGGTTGAGATTCACGAGTCCAGAGCAGAATTAAAAACACGACATTCATTTAAGGTCATCGCATGTTTTGTGAGCAAATGCTTTTGCATATTCGTAGTGTTTCCTCCCTTAAATGAAGTATCTACTTTGCAAGTATTGCCCTGAGTCGCCATGTTTCCTGCCAGGTAAATGACGCTCCGCAACGTGGTGACTTCATTTGGGTGACTGGAATCGATAAGGGAATCGTTTGCAAAAATGGCAAACAATTCCAAGGAATTGAAACAGTGGGAACCGGTTCTCAACAAGAACCGGGTTTCGATACCCATCCCTGTAGACACTACAATAGGTCATCCAGCTAAATAGGTTTGGTTTTGAAGGTACCATTGTCATGTTGATGACATCTGCAAACAGCCTAAGACATTAATATTAATTACAAGGCACTGCATGCATGACATTATGATTGGGAGCAGAGCCCCCGTAAAAGTTTGAACCTAGAATCACCCCTGCTATAGGATAAAGATTCAGGGAAAGGTGTACAAAGTGCTGATATTGCCAATTATCACCTGGCAGCTGCTGCTGGCACTGATGCTAGAGGCATGTAGCACTTTGAGGTGAGATCAGTGCCACCTTGGGTTCTGTGCTCATCAGGTTCAGCAACACTTCTCACTCTTCCTCACCTCAGATCTCACACTGTCGCTTTAAACAGAGCTACTTCAGAGCTCTTCAGCCAAACACATGATAAAAGCACCTTGCTGATGTATTGGTGTCACACATTCATATTCCTATAGACATGCGGTGCTGTGAAAACTGGGGCGCATCCCACTTGTGCTGCAGCTCCTCACTGGTGCTAGCGTGCATTAATAAAGTAATGCCTGCCAAATGACTTTGTTCCTGCACTTACTGTTTTTTTTATCTGCTTAACTCAAAGAAAGACTGCAGAGAACAGCTCACATGTGTTCAAATCAGCATCCCTGTAATTAAATGATTGCATGCTTGAATGATGTACCAGCTGCTTTGTGTTTCAGGTGTGACACAGAGTGTAGAAAGTAATATCTTTCAAATGCAGTCTTAAATGTGCCACAAAGAGTGAGTCTCACTGGGAATTTGTTCCTTTTTATTTCATTTGATAACGCATCGTATATTATTCACATTTAATCAACATGGCAGGACAACACATGAATAT